ATTGGAAAACACTAGCTCGGGAGCTCGCAAGGCAATTATTGACGCCCTGGCGTTGTCGCGTCTGCAGGGACACTATATTAAGCAGGAAATGTACTCGACTGTACTTTCATTAGAACAACATGTGTACATATCGTCAGGATAAAGACTAGCTATTCTCTTACATGATGTGTAATGAGTTTACATAAGTCCTGCTTTAACACTTATAGAAGTTGTAGGTAAAAGAGAAAAGGGAAAGGCGGAAAGAGAGCGGCTCCTGTCCGCAGACGGAGGCCACTGCCAGGGGTATGCTATCCTGGGCTAGCCTCTATCGTGAGCAGCTGTTGGCTGTATTTTTGTCGAGCAAATAGCTTGGTTAAAGGAAGTATAGCAGCAATTTCTTCCCTGAAGTCGTTGACTACGCGATTCACTTCTATAATTGTCAATTGCACAGCTTTATAGCTGATTGCGAACAAAGATTGAAACTTGGGAATCGTTTACCACATATTCTTATAGAATTGCTTTACATTCGGAAGCGCATTAACTCGACATAATGAGAAACGCGTCAGTTTTAGCTTCTAACGCGTTTCAAATCGATATTCGCATTCAGCGCAACAAGAGTCGAAAATTCAGAGGTCACCACCTTTAAGATTTTAACATACGGGGCGTCCCAAAAGTATATGTAAAGAGTGGAGGACGTCCGCTCAATTGTAACGTTGAAGCTAGAGGTATGGCTACCTTCTCAGATAACCGCCGGGGGCAGGCGGCCATGCGAATTTTGAGCAAGCGCGCACCGGAAAAATAGTTCGTTGATTTTTTGCGGCCCGCTTGCAGAAATTTGGAAGAAAGTTGGCGAAATTAAAGACGAATGCTTGAAGAACAATCGCGGTTTCTTTATGGATTAGCTGCGGCGCAGTGGCCGCATTCTCGCGGACTTTCCGCGAGAATATGCAAAAATTTCGAGGGCCGCACGGTCCTTTGTGGAGGACCGCGCAACCCCCAGGTACTTTCCGCTGAGAGAAAGTACCTCAAACTTGAGTAATTAAACCAACGGTGACACCTCTGCCACACAGAGTCTTAGCTGCGCTCGACGTACGCCCGAAAATGCCTAAAAAGAGTCCGAGCGCTTGCTGAAAGTTTGGCCAGCGCTCGCTGAAAGAAATTATTTGCCGAGCGCTTGCAAAAAATGCTGTATTGCTGCCCGCTGGCAGAATATGCGACCGTAAAGGAAGTGCCGCCCGCTGAAGGTTTGGCCACGCCCCAAAATTCTGCCGACCGCCTGCAGAAAAGCGCGAGTTTGCGGACCGCCTGCCCCCGGCGATTATCTGAGTTTACAGCGTTGAGCAAGTGCTCAGATAATCGCCGGGGGCAGGCGGTCCGCAAACTCGCGCTTTTCTGCAGGCGGTCAGCAGAATTTTGGGGCGTGGCCAAACCTTCAGCGGGCGGCACTTCCTTTACGGTCGCATATTCTGCCAGCGGGCAGCAATACAGCATTTTTTGCAAGCGCTCGGCAAATAATTTCTTTCAGCGAGCGCCGGTCAAATTTTCAGGGCGCTCGGACGTTTTCTAAGCAGTTTCGGGCGTATGCCGAGCAAAGGTGAGACTCTACATGGAGGTGTCATCGATGGTTTAATTACTCAAGTTTGAGGTACTTTCTTTCAGCGGAAAGTACCTGGGGGCTGCGCGGTCCTTCACAAAGGACTGTGCGGCCCACAACAACTTTGCATATTCTCGCGAAAAGTGCGCAAGAATGCGGCCACTGCACCGCAACTTATCTACAGAAAAACCGCGATAGTTCTCCGAGCGTTCGTCTAAAAATTGGACAAATTTATTCCAATTTTCTGCAAGCGGACCACAAGAAATCAGCGAACTATTTTTCCGGTGCCCGCTTGCTCAAAATTTGCATGGCCGCCTGCCCCCGACGATTATCTGAGTGATTGTTGACTCGCTTTCCAGGTCTTGCCGAAAACGATTCGCCCCGAAACGCAACCTATTATTTAATCTTATTGTGCTGACAATCGATTGATAATTTTGGGAAATCGCTTAGTGAATGGCATATTGATTGTAGAATGCCAAGATGCATTGTGGAAAATTTACTCTCGAAAACTATTTAATGGATTTTCTTGAATTTGGATGGAAGAGGAGATAAGGCTCCCGCCAGAGTGCCGAAGTTATGCCAGCGCTACGCCAGCATTTCGATCGATACACGTGTATTTCGTTGGGGCGGGGCTAGCTGACGTGCCCAACGAAATACACGTGTATCGATCGAAATGCTGGCGTAGCGCTGGCATAACTTCGGCACTCTGGCGGGAGCCTAAGCTTTCCACAATGAGGCTCTGCTCCACAGAACTCGAATTTTGCCCCCCCCCCCCTTTTGGGACCAAATATGATTGATTGCTTATTTTTTGACAAAAAGTCAATTTTTCGCAAAAATGAATCTCTAGTTCACGAACGTCAAATTTCCGCCCCCGGGATCGATATTGATTGAAGGCTCAGTTTTTCGCAATTAAAATTAGATCCTAGAAGAAACTCGTTTGAAAAAAGCTGGGCGGAAAAAGAGATGAACTGAGGCTCCTCTCTCCAGAACTTCAAAATTTCCTATCGTTGGGACCAAAATTGATTAAATGCTCATTTTTCGCTATAAATCAAATTATTCAGTCGAAGTGAGACTCTGTTCCACAGACGGTCGAATTTTTGCTCCTATTTTAGCTCTTGCTACGATACGCCATGGAGATGCTCTCAAACTAAAACGCTAAGACAGTCTTCGCAAACGGCGACCTCCACCCTCTTCGACGCTGCAGAGCAGATCAAGTACCACGTCATTGCTCGATAAAGGAAGACCAGGAACAATAACTGAATGTTAACGTTAGTCAATCAGGGAGTGAACCCACTTACGTAAAGACATTAGTTGACTGCTTCAAGGACTGTATCCAGCATTGCAGCTATTCCATCGTACCAGACCATCCCAGTTGAAAAGGGGGTCCGACAAAACAAAATCATTTTGCCAAGCTATACACCGCGCCCTTGCTCTGGGACGAGAGAGTCATACGAGTTGATGTGAAATTTCTCTTGATTTATCGAATATTATTGAAGGGGAGACGATGTTGACGAAACTCGACGAAGTAGGGAATAAGATCAGACTGCAAAATTGGAATAAGACTCAGTTTATGCAAAACGCTTTCGAAGAGCCGAAATGAAAATGAGAGGCATTCCCGCTATGGAGGCCTCTTCATACGTGTACCTATCTTGGACGTTAAATGAACATGGCGAACGAGTGAAGGATTCAAAAAAGATGAAGAGCAGCATAAGTCGTCTCCAGAGAAGACCGCTAAGAAATAAGCAGACGAGTTCGTAGCACGGATGGGCCAGCTGAGACATCAGCGGGGATCGAATCACAGACCGTAGAAGATTTTGAAAGTCAGAAGCTAGGGACAGGAAATTATGGCAACTTAGGTGCAGGAACCGGCATGCCACGACAGGTTATCTTAGGATCAATCAAGTTCACTTTGAATAATCGCAACATTAGGAAATCTTCGTTGTGAGGTTGGCATAAGTTCTAAAAGTCTTCAGTCTAAAGCACCTATTTCTTCGAGAGAACATCCTATTGATTAACTTGAACGAGATTGCAAATGGCATAAAGGCGAGTTTAGATAGTGACTTGCACTTCAGATTGCAACAAACTAAGATCATTGGAAAGATAGGCAACTCCTACTATTTGTGTGCATAAAGATCAGAAACATAAGGTCATATCTGGCTATTGAAATCCTTTAAGTTTGCTTACTCCGTTCTGTGGTGTGCAGTAAAAACGACCACGAGTATGCTTCTACTGTACTTGTCTTTCAAGGGTCCTTGTCCATTCATGAAAGCAAACACATATACGGTCAACCATGAAATTACAGCTAAATATGCAATCTACCGTTTTAGCCAAACAGAACAGAGCAAACAGATCAACAAACAGATGCATTCGAACATCAGGCAATCTACAATCATCTAGTAAGTTCAAACAACAACTGCACACCGGTGAGCAAACTGTCATGTGGTGCTTTGCTGTAGTATCCGCATGGTATAAATTGCAGAACACATGCCCTTACAAGCACCCTTACATCCTCTGCTTACTTACTTTATTGTACTCAGCTATCCAGGGTATTTGCCCATTCATAAAAAGCAAACACATACTCAGACAATCGCTGGGGGCAGGAGGGCACCAGAAAAATAGATTGCTGATTTCTCGCACCCCGCTCGCGCATTTTTTGGAAAGCAATCAGGACTTTTCGGAAGACCGCTTGCTGAGTCAGCGGATTTTTGAGAGACTGCCTCTCGAATTTTTTTTTCGCTCTCATCTTTTGCAGATATATTGCTGAATCTCTGAGGAATCGAGAACTCAGCAAGGGGTCTTCCGAAAAGTCCTGATTGCTTTCCAAAAAATCCGCGAGCGGGGTGCGAGAGATCAGCAATCTATTTTTCCGGTGCCCGCCTGCCCCCGGCGATTGTCTGAGTATACGGTCAACCATGAAGCTGCGGTTAAGTATGCAATCTACTGTTTGAGCCAAGCAGATCATTTCATATGCATTTGAACATCAGACAATCTCCAATCATCTAGTAAGTTCAAGCACACAACTGCACACCGTTGAGCAAACTGTCACGTGGTGCTTTGCTGTAGTATCTGCATGGTATAAATTGCGGAACACATTCCCTTACAAGCATCCTTACATCCTTTGCTTACTTACTATATTGTACACAGCTATCCAGGGAATTTGCCCATTCACAAAAAGCAAACACATATACGGTCAACCATGAAGCTGCGGTAAAATATGCAATCTACTGTTTTGGCCAAGCAGATCATTTCATATGTGTTTGAACATCAGGCAATCTCCATTTATCTAGTAAGTTCAAACACACAACTGCACACCGGTGAGCAAACTGTCATGTGATGCTTTGCCGCAGTAGCTGCATGATATAAATTGCGGAATTTGTCTTTACATATATTCAAAGTGGTTACATCTGTTGGTTACCAACTATTCAGAATGATGCTACTAGTACTCCTCTTTGTTCCCGCTGCGCTTGCTGCTGTAAGTGCAGGAATCATGGCTTTCTTACAGCTCACTTAAGCTATTCAGTTAAGGAAAAAGCTACGGACCATTCAGTTATTGCGGAGAAAGCAGAGAATACCATTGACCGGGAAATCTTTTTATTATTGAAAAACATCCAAAAAGAGGTCGGCGATTGCCTGTTTCGCACTAAAATGAGTGGCTATAACGCTCGCTTAAACGTGGGTATCATGATGGCGCTCTCTAACAAGGTAGGTATAATATCAACGAATTCGTTGAAGTAGCAGATTTACAGCCGTCTAAGATGGAAGTTCGATGAACAGTCATGTTTGTTCCTTACTTGCAGACCGAACAGCAGAGATTCTGCTGTGAGTGCACAACCGCAATTCACATACCTGTATTCAAAGACAGATACTATCGACGTGTTCTCCTTGGGTATGTTGCAAGTTCATTTTCGCTCTGATTCTTTTGCAAATGTTCTATCTAAATTTAGCCACAACCAGCCCAATACATATAAAATCGCACAAAGACTTCTGGTGAGGAATAATAAACCAACACCTTGGTTGAAGTGATTTCCCTCTTTATTTTATTGATTTTTGCTAAGATTCCCTTACCCAGCGTGTTTCATCAAAAGTTTTATCTATCGACCTTTATTGTTCAAGACAAATTTTTTAGAAAGACTACACGTTCGCGCAGAACCGCGACATAGTGGAAGTCGGATGCGCTCAAGAACGATTTGGTCTTCATAGTGTTTTTGGACTTGACAAGAAGGTCTATTGTGTATTCAGGCCATACCGGCCGGGTAATGACCGGGGCCCCATTCGTGAAGGATTAGGGAGAAGAATGCTTGGTACACTCAGACATATCTAGTTTTGAAGGAGTACAGCAACGAATGAAACTCAAAATTCATAAAGTGATTACATTCAATCCTAGAAATCTTTTCACACAAGTTGATATCCTCTCACACGATCTTTATAGTCTTTGCTGACAGGGCCTGACAAATGTTAAGGTATTCAGTGGACATAATGATCAATGAACTAATTTCTCCCGAAGTATCATCCATCTGCCTAGTGAAAAGAAAAGTAGATCTGACGTGTATAATAAAAGTACATCTTTTTAATGAGGAAAAATAAGGTACCTGTCATTGTACATGATTTTATCAAAGTTTTTACAAGCCTCCAGAAATTTCCTTGCGAGAAGCTTTCTCAAAGGTGCTGTTTCAATCAATGTGGAAACTCTGTGCTGAATGCTGCTTCAGAAACCTGAGCGAAAGGTGTGTGACCTTTGGATTATACCATCGTAGGTAAGATAGATGAGACGGTAGTATTTATATTATATATTATATTATATTTATTGCACAGGAAGTGCGCCTTTACAAATCATAGAACACAATTAATACTCATTCAAAGAGCAACAAAGAAATAGACATAGGACAGCAACCTGAAATTGTTATTTTTGGAAGAAAAAAATGTTCTCAGATTATTTAGAGCAAAGCTGGAAAAAATAAATCGTACAAAAAGCTTTGCACTACATTTGAACTCTGATTGGAGGTGATGAATGTATACTAAAAGCGTGTATATGAGCGGGAAATGATGGTGCAAAAATTCAAGTAGACTTTTTATTTTATTTTCATCTTTATCGTGAGAGGGAAGCTGGTCTAACTTGCAGTGCTACCAGCAAACTGTAGCGTTTTCTATAGTCCTTCAGCATGTGACTTTTCGTAAACCATGCACACTGCTCTGCTGGACAATCATACCCAAAACACTAAACCAAACGTAGAAAATTTCCACTACCTAGCTAGAGGCTTTCTCTGTCAAACAAAAAGCCACGAAATCTAATGAATTTTGCAATTTTTCATTCTTTTTCAGACTATCCAGAGTCTTGAGCCCGTATGCACGTACATCCCGCTGTGGCGGTTCTCGCTGCGCTAGACATCTGTACTTTCACTTGTTTATCTATCTTACGAAGGTTCCTAAGAAGGATAATGGATGCCAGGATAATGCCATACTGCATGAAGTCTATTACTTTGTTTGATCTCCTAAGAGATCTCCAGCGAATCAGCCGTACCCCTTGTCAAGCATGTTAAATAAGTGGAATCTCCGTGTTGGCAGGTTCAATTTCGTTCTGATTCTTTTACAGACTAGCGACCCTAAGGGCCGCTTACAGCTGGTAAAGCAAATTCATCTGGGTGCAAAAGAATAGTCACTCAACATTACAAACTTTTAACTAAATAAAAGCTTTCCTATGTTCATGAGAATAAAAGTACTGTACAAATATCCTACAAACCATACCTTCCGAAGTGATATTATATATATAAAAGGACTGCCCTGTGGGTCATTTTTAGGATGTCCTTATGAACCACAGTGGGTCGCTCATAGACCGATATTTTAAATAAGGACTGCCCTACCGCCTCCCTTCCCCGCCCCCTCTTCCAACAAAGTGTTATTCACAAAGGCTCTCTGCGGGCCACTCATACGTAGTTTGCAAGAAGCACTGCTTGTGGACTGCAGACCAATAATTATAAAAAGAACTGAGCTGTAAGCCTTCAGACCCAATATTCTGAGAAGAGGTGCCCAAGGGGGCAGCTTACCTATCACACTTAATAAGATTTTATGCCCTACGTGCCGCTACAAACCATTTTGAAAAAGGACTGCCAACTAATTTACAGAGCAATATCAAAAACTGCCCTAAGATCCTTTGATATTCAAGTGACGTACCATAAGAGCCGCTTGCAGGCCAAAATTTATTGAAATTTTTTAAATAAAAAATGAGTCGCTCATCAGATCGACAATTTCGAAGAGAACTACCCGGAAACCCCTACAAACCAATTTTGAAGAATAAACTCTCCTATGGGAGCCCCTACAAAGAATTCTGGAAGAAGCGCCCTTTGAGCCCCTACAAACCTATGCTCCGGGATGAAATTGACACCGTCCGCTTACAAACCGATATCCTGAGAAAGAAATGCTATATGGGTTTATAGGCCGATAATTCAACTACACTCCGAGCTTCTTATACACCAATCTTTCCAAAAAAAAGCCCTACGGGCCGCTTTTAACCGAAATTTTGAGGAAGAACTGCCCTACAAACACTCAAGCCAATTCTGAGAAGACCTTAGGAGCCGCTTCAAGACCGAAGTTTTCAATTCGAGCCGCCCTCTTTACAAGGACTCTGCGAACCATTGGAGAGGAAACTGTAACCCCTTGCAAAAAATATATTAGACTACATACAAATAATATCTTGAAGAGAAGCTGCTGCGCCGCCTACGGACCAATAATTGTAGGAATGATGTGGGCGCTTATAGACCGATGATTTGGGCAATCCTCTACCTCTTCCAATCGCTCATGATTATAGAATGATTAATGTCGCCTACAGACTACTTTTTGTAAATAAACAGTGCTTCGCATACCGCCTGCAAAATATATGTAACAGCTGCCCTTTGATCCTCCAGAACGTAATTAAAAGAAAAAAATCTTTCCTACGGTCTGCTACAGAGGGAATCTGGAACCATAACAACCCTTCGAACCCCTACAAATGCATCATATTTTGGGATAAATCTGCCATACCCCCCCCTTACAAACTAATATTGCAAGGAAGCCCTATGAGCTACTAACAGACGAAAAAACCTGCCTTAAGGGCCGCCCGCGAACGGTACTTAGTTATTAGAAGAATATGTTTTATGGGCCGCTTGCAGACCCTTATGGTTCTTAATTATGAGAAAGCACTGCCCTATGGCCATCAGACCGATATTCTAAACCCTACCCTGCAGACTGCACGCCTACGAGGCGATCACGTATGTCTGCTCTATCAGCAGACCAAAGTTTTGAGAAAAAACGAAGCTACCAGCTACTTAAAGACCTACACAATGATATTTTGAGAAAGAAGTGCCTTGCAATCCATACAAACCACAGCATATTGTAATAAAACTGCTCTGCGGACCACCTACAAACCAATATTTTGAAAAAGAACTGTCGTATGGGATTCTACAGACCGATATTCCAAGAAAACGCAGTATGGGCCGCTTGCAAATCGATAATTACTTGAAGGAACCGCCCTATGGGGAGAGGGCGAAGACCTGCAAACCGATATTTGGCGAAGAATTGCCCCATGGACTCTTGCAAAACATTCTTATGGCAAAGAACTGCCCTATGGGCCGCTTACAGACCAACATATCAAAAAAGGACTGAGCTGCAAATCCTCAAACCAATATCTCGAAAAAAAAAGTGCCCTAAGAGCCGCTCAAAGACCGATATTTGAGAAAAAACCGCTCTGGGAGCCCCTTAAAAGCAGTATTCTGAAAAAAATTAAGTACGAACCGGACAGCGAACAGACCAAATTTGAAATTGCCCTATACGCCTTAGAGACCTACAAGAGTCGCCCCACGGGCAGCATACCAACTTTTATTTCGAGAAAAACAAAGAACTGTTCTCAACAGTCCTCATCAATTACGGGCAGCCATGGACTTTAGCAGGAAGATGAGAATGTGAGCAGTTGAAGGCGTATTGAGAAACTACTACTAAATGTTTACGCAAAACAATGAGTTCCTAAATCAGTCATATCTCCAAATACAAACCTGTGATAGAGGGGGTTTCAACAGAACAATGTCTTAGAATACTGCCCTCGAATCCCCCCCCCCCACAAACCCTTTGAGAAAAAGCAGCCCTATGGAACACCTAGGCCTGTTAACAAATAGAAGTGCTCTACATATGGAATGCATGTAGGCCAATATTCCGAGAAATAGCTGTACTACCCTATTTTCAGGTGTAGCCGCACTTTTCCAAATTTTTCCACGAGCTGCTCAGCCGCTTCATTGTGTTTCGAGAAGCGATTCTTATACCGCACGTTTTATTCAGGCAATACGCAGCATAGTGTAGGGTCCTTTGGTTGCGAGGTCCTATCTAGTATTCGGACTGGTCGATGTAAGCAAGGACCACCCCGCGGCTTATACACCTGAAAATAGGGTACTAACCCCCACAGACCATAATGAAAAAAAGTGCCGTATGAGGAACCCGCAGCCGTCATTGTTAAGAACTGCCCTACGAAAATATACAAATTGTACTCCCTAGCAGCTTACGGATTATCTGCTCTATGAAAAGCCAAAAACCGGAATTTTGAGAAGAAATAAAGGCCCACCAGCTGCTTAGAGACCCATAAGAACTGCCCTGTGAGACATTCACAAATCGATTTCGAGATGAAACAAACTGTCCTCATAAACATCATCGACCTTTTTAAACGCCATAGACAACCATGGAGACTTAGGAGGAAGATGTGAACAGATTACAACATTTACATGAACAGTAAGCATCACTACAGCATGTCGAGAATCAAACTGGCGGGCGCCAGTGCAAAAAGTCGAAACAACAGTTTGATATCCGTCACCGCAGAGTTCGAACTTGCGAAAGAGGGGAGGGGGTACTGTTAGCAACCTTACGAGAGTGTCGGCACCTCCCCAAACTATGGCGTTTTTGCACTTAGTAGTCGCAGCCCTTTCGAAAAATTCCTCGACGAGGGACGATGCTCACCCCCTACGAAAACACGCTAGCCTTGTAAATAAATCTGTGCCCTCCGCACCCTCCGCGCCTCGATCGGCAACTTGTCAACATGTAAGTGCAAAACCTTGCCATTCTTTATTATAGAATGATCTTTTCTTTAAGTTTTGCAGTCGCAACGAACACAACGCGTATAAACTCGCGCAATTGCTTCAGGTGAAAAATGATATCTTACTCATGACATTTCACGCATTTATATAACCAACAATGTGGTTGAAGTAAACCCGTCTTATATTTTGACGTTTTTTGCTAGAAAATTCCTTATCTGTCAGCGTCCTCCTTCAAACATTTTTGTGTAGCAACACTTTTATTGTTCAAGACAAA